TCCCCAGATTGCCAGCTTCCCTGCTCCCACCACTACCTCACGGTGCCCTCAGTCAGACCTCCTCCTTGCTACCTTCAATGCTAGTCAATGGTCTCGTCACACAGGACTCTTCTCATTGCCGCACCAACTCCCCAGATCTCCCGCCTCCACACCCCTGCAGAGGCTGCTACTCATCTGGGATGCTGACACACCCTACCCACACCCCCGCTGAAGCCAGTCAAACTCCTCTCTGAGCACATTCCTGAGCAAAAAGGCCACACATCCATGAAGTCTTGCCAGAGGGGACCCAGCTCCCACTATTTGCTTCCCCGTTAGGCTCTAAACCCCATGACCAGAGCCATGTCCTGTTAATCTCTGAGCCCCATTGTTCTAGGCACAGAAATCCTTCCTGTGCCTGGAAGGCCACATGTGCCCTCACCTGCCTCCCTGTCCCAACTGTGCACCCTTTACTTATGAGGCTCTGCCACCTTCTATTCTCCAACTCCCCACCTTGCCCTGCCCTTGGCCTTCGCCCTTGCCACGTCATTCTGCCTGAAGCACTCTGCCTCTCCCAGGTCTCTGCCTGTCTGTCCACTTCAGGTCTTCCTGTGTCCACCAAGACTCCCACTAGGTATGTCCGTGTGTGCGCGAGTGGGCTGCAGGTTACGTGTTACACACCACTGAGATGATCAGGCTTCGGTTTTGTTTTTTCTTAGCAGGTGTGCCTCTGCCCCCTTCTGGGCTGAAATGCAGGTTCCGTGCAGGCAGGATGCCGCGGGGTCCCCAGCACCCTGCAAACTGTAAAGTCCATACCCACAGGTATGTGCTGGATAAATGAATACTGGGCTCTCAGGACATGCTGGCTGGGTAAATGTCTGAGGTGAAGCAGGCAGGCTCTGCCTAGAGTTTCTCCTCTCATTCCATCTCTCCAGGCAATCCACAAGCCCAATCAATCCTGTTTCTGACAAGCAAACAAACAGCCCCAGGCACAGGGGACCCTGAGCAGTGACACCGACACAGCAATGACAGCCCAGACCTGGGACTGCAAGCCACGCCTGCTTCTCAGAGCGCACATGGGCAGGGACAGGGCAAGGGCAGACCCACCTCGCTGATGGCCCCAAGGCCCGGTGTGAGCAGAGGATGCTCTCTTGTCTCCATGTGGGGGTAGAAGACGACAACAGAAACCCAGACTGTGAGCTTTTCCGCTTGCCTGCCCCGTGTCTTAGGGGCACTCAGTCATCAGTTCCTCCCCATCATCCAGGCAGAGAGGGCCATCCTCCACCATTTGGAGCAGCTGACCTGACGTTTGCCCTTGGATGGCAGCATTCCTGGGGCTGGACTTCAGACCCTTATCCCCTGACAGTGAGGCCAGTGAATGACTAAACTGGCCAAAAATAAAAGCCCCCCATAAATCTGGTATTTTCCTTTAAGCTGTCGGGTACACAGAGTGTGCCGGGATTATTGATAGAAAAGTTTATGGATGGGTTGCATCTTAAAATCAAAATACATTACCCAAAATCAATGTTGCCGTACGAGGCACAGGGAGGACAGGAAAGGTCAACCGAGACAAGAATATCGAAACCAAAACTCCAAGAGGACCTGAGCATTAAAATAAATAAATTTTGAAAGTGAGTTGCAGGAAACACATTCACTTAAGGGCTATAATTTAAGGGTACTTTCACGAAAGGCTGGGCAGTCTTTTTAAATAACACTTTTTGAAGTGCCTTTGAGAGTCTAGTGAATCCATCCACAAAATGGTATTGACAAGCACAGCATACCCCAACTGGCAGCCGGATCACAGCAGCACAAAATGACAACGGGCAGGACAGAGCGAGGTAGACTCGGGCAAGCGCCCATGCACAGCCCCATCGGTGGGTCAGGTACACTGAGGGCCTACTGGTCACGTTACAGGAGGGTTCACCTCCAGGCCCCTCTACACAATGATCCTGCAGGCATTTTGGAGCCTGTGGAGGGAGAAAGGGAAAGAAAAACTTTGTAGTCTAAAGGGTGCCTGTCACTTCCTACTGATGAGCTGTTGATGAGTACACAACAACAGTTTCAGAGACACAACAGTTCTGAAAAGTCTCTCAAAAGTCCATCAGTGGGAAACCAGCCTCATTTCACATGACCAACATTTCCTCCAAACAGGGCTTTTGGAGAGAGCTTTTTGGAGAGAGCTCTTTGTGGGAGCCCAAGGGACTGGCAGTTGGCAGGGGTGAGTGGGGTGAGTGACTGTGTCCCCAGAGAGAAGTTTCCTTTTGAGAAGGGAGCAAGAGGAGCAACACACGTGCCCCGTCACAGATGCCTTCTTTAGAGCCTCCGACTGAGACCACATCCCACAGGTCACTGCAGATGTGGCGAGAAGGAGCCGACTCCCCTGCAGAAGGGGGGAAAGATGCAAACAACAACCTTCCCGCCACAACCAACAACACTCTTAGTTGTAACATTTACTGAGCCTAAGCAAGGGCTGGCCCCACTGGGAGTTAGAGACCCAGAAAAGAAGGGCACAGCTGCTGCCCTCGCAGTCTGCCAGCGGGGACGGGAGAGCAAACAGTCTCTCCGGACACGGGACTGCTGTGCACCTTGTAACAAGCAGGGAAGAAGCTGTGAGACAAGTTCAGGCTGCCATTAATCAAGGGCAGAGGGTCCCTGCTCTCCGTACCAACTCCAGGTACTGAGAGACAAGAGTCTCACCTGGAATAGGGGAAATTTCAGTGTTTTGATTAAGAATTAGGACCCCAGACTAAGACAGATCTGAGCTGAAGCTTTACTCTGCCACTTACTAGCTGTGTGACCTGGAGCTAGTTCCTTAAGCTCTCTGAGTTTTAGCTACAGTATCTCTAAAATGCGGCTAAATCACAGTGCCTACCTCATAGGGTTGTTACAGAGGTTAAATGAGCTCATTCATTCACTCCAAAGTTTTTTTACTGAGTTTCTATTCTATGCCAGACCCTGTCTAGATGCCACAGATGCATCAGTGAACAAAGCAGTCAAAGAGCCCCCATCCGAGTAGAGGCTACAGGCCACAAACAAGAAATACAGTAAATAAGGATGCTGTACCATATGCTGGAAGGCGGTTAGTACTAAGGAAAGGAGAAAAAAGGAGAGCAGGTAAGCAGACTGCTGGGGAAAGGGGTGTGCAGATTGCACTCGAAATATGGTGGTCCCAGGGAGCCTCATTGAGAAGGCAGCTTCTTAACAAAAACCAGAACATGACAGAGTGTGTGAGCCAGGGGTCCGGGGAAGGAGCATCCCAGTCAAATGATATAGCTAGTGCAAAGGCCCCGGGGTAGAAGCACTGTTGCACTGTAGAAGTATGTTGTGCTGTAGGAAGGAAGCCAGTGTGGCTAGGGAGCATCATCAGGGAAAGGACAGAAAACATAAGATGAGGACATCGGGGCGGGCCAGAAAGGGAAGGCAGCTGGTTTGACCTTGCCAGCCATTACAATGCCGCTGGTGTTTATCCTGAATGAAAAAGGAGCCACTGTCGGGTTTTGAGCAGCGAAAGAGTGATCTGATTTCTGTTTGAGGAGGATGGCTTGACTGTCAGGTTGAGAACTAATGTGTGGAAAGTATATACCCAGTGCTGATACATGGAAAGTGTATGAAAGAGTACAGCTATTATTCTTGTTAATAATAACACCAACTCACACAATAGGCAAGATACACCTTACCCCACGTGGTGGTACGGTTCAGAAGACTCGCAAATCTTACTGATAACAGAGGTGTGACTCCCTCTAGCTGCAGAAGTTCTCCCCCTTATATCCCTGATACTGGCCATCCATCTCTGCTTGCACCTGGTATCAGGCCAGGAGATTGGCCCTCCAGGCAGGCCACCGCACAGTGGGCCATCAGTTCCCTTGCCATCAGAACTCTGCTTGGTATCAGTCCCCAAAAGAATCTGCTTTCCTAGAATCCCATCAAGGTCCTGAATCTGTATAGCACAGTGCAAGTCTGCCCCCTCCCTTCAGATGCTGAGGACAGCAGTGGGGTCTGCAGGGTCTCACATTCAGCAACCCAAAGCAGTGTGTAAAGGAAGGTGAGGTTGCTAAGGAAAAGTTCCTGGTCCTACGGGGGGAAAAAATGGAGACGGCACCTGGCAACTGCCTCTTTGGGTTGAGTCCCCCAGAAAGAAACTATAGAAAGAAGAGGAAGGCCCTAGACACTCCTCCCTTCCCAGCCACAGACCTTGGCAAACAAGGGCTCCGTAGCTGAGCAGCAGTAGCCTGAGGATGTGGAAATGACTCCTTGGTCACAGATGAGGATACTGACAGACCCAGGAAGGGCAAAGGGACGCTGTCCAGGGCATCGTACTGGTAAGAGCAAAGGCCCCAGGAAGGGCCTAAAGCTACTTCTCTACTGAGGGCGTGCCCTGGGCAGCATGGACCAGCTCTGCTGTTGTGATGTGTCTGCCCTCTGGGTTTCCTTCTCCCTGGCTCTGGGAAAACCCTCTGGTGGTGCCTCCAGGAAGCCAGTGAGCAGGGAAAGCAGACGCGTGAACCGCAGGGGCGCGGGGGTGCTCTCTCACCCCAACAAGGACAGAGCTGAGAGGTTAGGGCCAGGAGGGTAGGGAGATACACTGAAATAGACCATTTGGGTTTCCCATGAGAAAGGAAGCAAGAGAGACCTGAGCCGAGCTGTGGGACTTGCCCCTACAACTGTGTGCCCATCGGAGCCACAAGCCCGCCCCACGTTTCCCTTTAGGGGCCAGACTGCACTCCCGCAGAGAGCTGGGGAGGGGCAGGCTCCTGGTGAGGGCCCGGAGAGGTACAGGGATGCCAGGGACGCAGGGGCGGGGGATGGGTTCCGGAAAGCGGCGATGGACCCGACCTTTGCCTCTAGCTGCCTGGGGATCCCCCCCCCCTCCTTGCACCCGGTAAAGCGAGAGCTGCGACCGGCGAGGAACGAGTGGGGACGCAGGGGCCAACGACTGAGGTGCAGGAACCCCACCCCCGCTTGGAAACCTCCGGGGCCCTGAGTCGTGCTGGGCGCTCCCCACCCCACCCCACCCCCGCCGCCTCTGCCGTCACTCACGGCCGCTGCTCGCTGGCTTGCTCGTGCGCTCTCCGCGCCACAGGCACCTGCTCGCCGGGCGCTCTGCGCTCACTTCTCGCTCGCACACTGCAGACTCCCGGCGTCGCCTCCGTCACCCGGCCTCGTCCCCAGCCCAGCACAGCGCTCCGCCCTTCTCCCCGGCCCCTGGCGCCCACCCACCAGCCATGGCCTGGGCCTGGGACAAAGAGCGGTGCAGCTCTTTGCCCAAACTGGGGTAAGCAGTTGAGGGCGGGGGTCTGCGGAGAGGGCCGCGGGGCACGCAGGATAAGCGGCCGTCTCGGGAGAGGGAGATTGGGAAGAAGCCAGGGAGAGTTTGGGTGGGAGGACCCCCAGCCAAAGCGGGTGCTGGGCGGGGCTGCGCTCCAACCACAGAGACTGTGGGCCCTCCAAGCGACCCCCTGGAGCGGGGGGCGCTCTGGGGCGGGGGCGGTGCCGGCTGTGGAAGGGGAGCGAAGGGCGGGGGTGATGCAGCGGTGGAGGCGGCTCCGCGCCTAGCCACTGACCGCCTCCTCCCTTTCCCTTTCCCTTCCCCCTCTCCCCGCCTCTCTTCGGCTCTGGGTCCGCCACGCCGGACCCGCTCTCCCCGCGCTGCACTGGGTCGGACGCCAGGTCTGCGCGCCGCGGCTGAGCGCCCACTCGCCTTGCGGAAAGAGCCGCGGAGGGACCAGCGGGGGCGGCGGCGGGAGAGCTCGGCGGGAGCCAGAGGAGGTGGCAGTCGGGAGCCAAACCATAAGGAGACTGGGAAGCAGAAGCTCGCAGCTCTGAGGCGCGCACTCCCTTGGCAAGGGATGGGTCCCGGGGCGGCCCAGCCTCTGTCCGGCCCGCCGGGCAGAGACTGAATTGCGGTTCCCCATCGTCCTGTGGACAGCGGGATAGAAGGAGGCACGGACCGATCACCAGTAGCCTCCCGGCGGGACCTCGCGTCCTGAGCCCCCCGCGCAGCGCCCCCCGCCGGAGCCGCGCCGGGCAAGCCGGCGAGGGAGCTGGGCTGATTGGCGGCCGCCGGCGGCCGGGGGAGGGGGCGCCGCGCGGGGCCATGGCAGGCTCGGAGGCGTCCTAGCCCGAGCTGGAGCCGGATCCGAGCCCACGCTGCCACCACCGCCGCCTCTCCGCGCCCGGGCCCCCGCCGCCGCCGCGCCCCCCGCGGGAGATGGAACAGCGGAACCGGCTCGGCGCCCTCGGATACCTGCCGCCGCTGCTGCTGCACGCCCTGCTGCTCTTCGTGGCCGACGGTGAGCGCGGGAACTTTGCTGCCGCGGGGGGCTCAGGGGATCCTTGCTGGGGCCGCCAGAGCCAGCCTGTCCCGGTCGCCAAGGAGCAGGAGGAAGAAGAGAAGGGGACGGCTTCACGGTCTCCAACAATCCCGGTGTTCAGCCCGGGCCCAGAGGGGCAGGGGGAGGAGAGCAGCGAAGGGTCGCCGCAGCTGCGGCGCTCGAGCCGGGGTCATTCGGAGCCGGACCCGTGCTCGGGCTGCGGAGAGGCGGCTCGCGGGGAGCGGGAGTCGGCGCGCCCCAGCCTGGCTCCGGCAGTGCGGCTGGGCGCCGGGTAGAAGCGTAAGCCGCCCCTGCTGCCCCGCCGGATCCTGAGGGAAGCAGCCTGCAGCGGTAGCTGGTCTCTGCTAGGGCCCGGCAGCCGCTCGACCGAACTTTGCTAACGCCTGGGCCACGCTTGTGGCTTGGGGGTGGCAAGCACAAGGCCGGCGAGCCGGGGACGCACCGTCTCGCTTAGGGTTGCCCCAGGCCCCCGCCCCACAGCTGGTCACGCCTCTCTCTTCCCCCGCCCCCAGCTACATTTACCGAAGTCCCCAAAGATGTGACAGTACGGGAGGGAGACGACATCGAAATGCCCTGCGCGTTCCGGGCTAGCGGAGCCACCTCGTATTCGCTGGAGATTCAGTGGTGGTACCTCAAGGAGCCGCCCCGGGAGCTGCTGCACGAGCTGGCGCTCAGCGTGCCCGGCGCCCGGAGCAAGGTAACCCGCCGCCCACGCGGCGCCGGCGCTCTCTCGGCTCAGGCCGGGGCGGCTGGGGTAATCCTGGCAGAAAAGGCAGGGCGCGCACTGGTGGAGCAGCCCGTCTCCCACCTACCCCATCCCCACGGCATCTTCAACAGCAGCAATCGTTACCCACAAATCCTGGTAATCCTTCTCCTTTCCCTTAAAACCTCCCGAACTGCAGCCTGCCGCTAAAAAGCGACACCTCATCCAGTTCGACTGCTCTTGCTTGCTGGCTGCGGGCACCGGAGTCAGATGGGTGCTGGGTCCTGAAGGAAGACCACTTGGTAGGGCCGGGCTTTCCCGGCCCTCTGCTACTCCGAGGTCCCCGGGGCACAGGGCCAAGGAGTTAAGCTCCTCTTGGCTGGGTTCCAGAGGCCCGCAGTGCACCTCAGGATCGGAGGGAAGGCTCCCACTGTCAGTAGGCCTCTCAAACCAGTCTCTTACGTACACTCGAACACACAACACACATACACACAGCTGCCCTCTACCCAAGGTCCCACCCAGAGTTACTGCTCACGTCTCCCTCTGCGTCCCGTCCGGATACACCGGCCCCTCCATCCAGCTTTCCACGGGGTTTAGGGAAACACTGCAGGGAATGAGGATGCTCCAGGGAGGGTGATGAGCCTTTCTTCCCACCCTGCTGGCAATCCAGCCTTTCCTCTTTGGCCGGCAGGTGTGCTAGGGCAGCCCCTCCTAGGTCAGGCACCATGCTTCCTTCAGGGTAAAACTCCAGGAGATCCTGATGTCCTTCGTGCCCTCAGCCCCGGCCACTTCCCGAGCGGTTTCGAATCCTAGCCCGCCCGCAGAGAGTCCCCTTGCCGGAGGCGTATCTGAGTTCCCCGGAGCCTGAAGGCCGAGAGCCTAATGTGTCTCTCTCCCTCTTTGCATTTTAGGTAACAAATAAGGATGCAACTAAAATCAGCGTAAGTGTGGAGCCCAGCGCGGGCCGCGGGAGACCCCTTCTGGCCGCTTCGCGCCCCACATCTTCCTCCCTTTTAGAAAGGCTCAGCGGCCGCCGCGGTGTAGGGCCTTACTCGCAGCCCTGCACAGTCGGCTGCTTGGCAGGTCGGGGGGCCATCTGTCGCCGCTAGCGGAATCGGGTTCGCTTTTGTGTAAATCAAGGGTCCCAGGCCTGAATCTCCTTTCTCCGTTCGGCGCTCACCTGTAAAACTCCTTCAGCCGGCCGGCGCGTTCAGGCCCCTGCTCATCCGCTTCCCTCTGTTCTGCTGGCATGTCTCCCAGCAACTGGAGCGCGCTGCTCCTTGCGCTAGCAGCGACCTGTGCTCCGACTGTGGGCCCACCCCTCCTCCACACACATACACACACCCGGCGCCCAGGTGGCGCCTTCTGCCGCAGCCCTCTCCTCTGCCTGGGGTCCGGGTCCCGTGCCCGGCGCAGTGGGCTCGTTGTGGAAGAAGGTGTGGGGCGGGGGTTGGCGGCGCTGAGAGGCGCTGGGGTCGTGGGGCTCGGGAGGAGATGCGTCTATGCTTCCCCAGCTGGAGCATGGAAGTATCGGGGCCTGGAGACCACCAGGGCCTCATAGAGCTCTCGGTTCCGAGGTGAGGGCCCCAGAGCGGTTGCTTGCCCACGTCTCCTCCAGGACGCGGAGGAGGAGAGCTTGGTCGGGAGCTTCAGGCTGCCGCGCTGAAAAGCAGACTGCGAAGTAGCAAAGCTCTGGGGACCCAACAGCAACCTCAGCGTCGCCTCCTTGGGAGGGCGGAGGGTTAGCTGTAAAGGGCTGGAGGGGTGGGGACCCCGCCAAGTGTTTATGTGTAGTCTGAGAGCAGAGTGGCTGTCCTTCCGGCACTACCCAGGCCCTCCGAAATCCAGAGTAAAGGAATGTTGGTGTGAGTAGATGTGGAGGGCTGGGCTTAAGGCCGTGCAGCAAAGAGGGTGGTTAGCCACAGGAGGCCGAGCCTGAGACTTCTCCAAGATGCAGGAGGGAGGAAGGACGGGTAGGTTCTGCAGCTCTGAAGGTCAGAAGCATAGTTTGGCAGGAGGATGCAACGTGATGAATTCGGTTAAGATGATGGGGACACGATGCAATGGGTAGGGCCATCCAAGATCCAATCAGGACTGGGAGCCCCAGGCCACTGGGGAGCCACGGAATGAAAGGAAAACCGGGTCGCGACAGGCAAACCTGCGTCCAGAGGTGTTGGGGTGCTGTGGCATGGGGGCGCAATGGCAGAGCTGGGCGCAGGTGCACTTCGCCGGCAGGGAGAGCGCGTCGCGGACCTGTCCATCCCGGCCTTCTGACCCCAGCCCCTGCTGTCTTGCAGACCGTGCGCGTCCAGGGCAATGACATCTCGCACAGGCTGCGGTTGTCGGCCGTGCGGCGGCAGGACGAGGGCGTGTACGAATGCCGCGTGTCCGACTACAGCGACGACGACACGCAGGAGCACAAGGCCCAGGCGCTGCTGCGCGTGCTCTCGCGCTTCGCGCCGCCCAACATGCAGGCCGCCGAGGCCGTGTCCCACATTCAGAGCAGCGGTCCGCGTCGTCACGGCCCCGCCAGCGCTGCCAACTCCAACAACTTGGGTGCCACCGGCGCCGCAGGCCGAGCCACCTCCGACCCTGGCCACGGCGACAAAAGCCCGCCTCCGGGGAGTCCTCCTGCTGCCCCAGGTCCCGGAGTCCCAGAGGCGGCCGCTGCCTCCGCGGCCCACGCAGCCGCCACCACTGTCGCGGCTGCGGCCGCTGCTTCGTCAGCGTCACCGCCACTGGGCCAGGCGGTCCTTCTGCGCCAGAGGCACGGCTCAGGTAAGAGCGTGTGCAGAGAGGGGGGCGCGCTCGAACGGGGGCTGCGGGGACAGGGTCCTGAGTGGCTCTGGCCAGAGAGGCAGCCCTGCTCTGGCACTTGGGTTTGCCTAGTGGTGGTAGTTCACGTGGGTGCGTGCGCCTGGGGCAAGTTTTCTGCAGCCTCCCTTGGGTTCTCTTCTTGTTGTTTCCTGTTTATTGCTGGTTGCTTAGAAGCTTTCAAGACTTGTATTTACGAAGGGGGGAGGGGCGGCCTTCCCCCAAATTCTGGGTAAGAGTAGGCAAGCGGCTCCAGTGTGAGGACCCCTCTCATGATGAGTTTGGAGAACTGGACCTTTTTCTCCTGGGGTCCTTAGAGTCTAGAGGGTGGGGCGCTAGCATCCAGAGTGGAAGGAGGTGGTTACCACTCAGGCAATGTGCGTCTGGATGCTGATTGACTGATAGAACAGACAGAATTTGTCCAAGGCTGTGTGGTTGGGCCTGGCTGAGTAGCCTCTGCTCTCTTTGGTTAAGTCCAGAATGGTCCTAGGCACAGGCTGTGCTATAAATAGTCCCCTTTGGGCCCTCTTGGGGGATGAGGAAGTAAGGATAGAGCTTTGTCATTGCTAAGAGAGCACCCACATGTTAAGGCCTGCTTTCCTAGGGAGCCAAAAGGGCTGGGGGAGATGGAAGGTGGGCAGGCAGAGGGGAGTCAGAGAGCAGGAAAACATGCTGACTGCCAGGGCAGGCAGCTCTGGGGCAGAGTGTGTATAATTCTTGGAAGATTGAGAAAATAGCCACTGAAATCACTTTGGTAGGGGTTAATTCTCTCAGGGAAAAGCTGCTGTAGAGACTGGCAAGGCAGGTTTTTAAGGCCCAGGACTAGAAGTGGTATATATTACCTTCACCCTCACCTTTTGGCCAGAACTAAGCCACTTGGTGCCCCATAGATGCAAGGTTAGCTTAGGAGCTGTTTTTGACCTCCTCTCTTCTGGGTAGAAGGAGAGCATAAATCCTGGGGGGACTTAGCCATCTCTGTTTAGCACACAGTAGGTGTGCTGGAAAAGTAGTTAATTGACTTGCGATTGGCTTAGTTGCATGATTAAAAAAAAAAAAAAAAAAGCACCTCTGCTGCACTCTTATGGGATGTTCTACAGACCATGAGTGGAGTGGCAAAGCAAAGGATTTGGAAGGCAGAAGCCCAGATGTGAGTTGTGCTTCCACGGCTTACTAGCTGTATGACTTAAGCAAGTGGCTTAACATGTCTGAACATATTTCTTCATCTGTAAAATAGAATGGTATTCCCTGATCTCAGAGGGAGCTCAGTATGGAGATTTCTATGTAAATGTTTGTTGTCATCACCTTGGTAATTACCTGCTCTGGCCAGAGAGGAGGGGATGGGGGAGATAAGGCTGAGTGGTTGGCAGTTGGAGGCCAAGCTGCTGAGGGCCTTGAATGCCCAGCAGATCCAACAGAGACTTTGGTCAAGGCTTTGGTCAAGGAAGTATTATATGAAAGAGATCTTTGAGGGGCGCCTGGGTGGTGCAGTCGGTTAGGCGTCCGACTTCAGCCAGGTCACGATCTCGCGGTCCGTGAGTTCGAGCCCCGCGTCAGGCTCTGGGTTGATGGCTCAGAGCCTGGAGCCTGTTTCCGATTCTGTGTCTCCCTCTCTCTCTGCCCCTCCCCGTTCATGCTCTGTCTCTCTCTGTCCCAAAAATAAATAAAAACGTTGAAAAAAAAATTAAAAAAAAAAAAAAAGAAAGAGATCTTTGAGAATAAACTTGGTAGTGCTCACAAAAGGTGTTAATGAGACCAAGGCTATGAGCTCATTCCTGCTTGAATCTCCCTTTCCGCCTGGCCAGAACCTTGACACCTTGAGCAGAACCAAGGCTGATCCCACTATGCTCTGCATTGCTAGTCAAATATTCAGTCTCTGTGCTGGCCACAAGGGGGCTCTAGGGCAACTCATCCCAACAGGGAATCTGTCTGTGGAGGGTGGCACAGATAGTAAGTACCCTTCTTTCTGGGAGATCTGGGGGTCCTCACATCAGTTCAGTTCTGATGGCACAGTGTCCAGGACCTCCCAGCAGGTGGGGCCTTGGGCATCTGCCAGTCACAGGGCAGTATTTTAATGCCCACACAGATCAGGGCAGCAGCCCAGGCTGGGGTTCCTCTGCCCTCCCATGGAGTGGCTTGTAGTGTGCATTTCCCTCCAAAAAGCACAGCCAGCTGGGCTCCCATCAGGGCAGGGAGGGCTCCCATCAGGTCCTGGCAGGGAAGTGCCACCAGGATGGGGGTATGGTGGCCCCTAAGGTCTCTGTCACCCCAAAACTGTTGCCAGCTCCTGAATAGGCCAGGAACCACGTAGACACATCTCAGAAAGAACCCCAGGTTTCTTTCCAACTCCCATTCAGAAGGCCAGAAGGTGGGCCTTCTGCCAAAAGACCAGAAAGCCTACATCTTCCTGTCTCCAGGTGAAGGTCTTGGGAGAGTCGCAGTGCAGTGGGCACCTCTGGAGATATGCGCATGGAGAAATGGGTTAGCTGACTTCTAACCCACAAACATACCTGAATTACCTTGATCCCAAGGAGGGACCCATGCTGTCTTAAATGTCCCATCCTGCCCACCACCCGAAGCCACCCAAGCTGGGGCTGTCGATGGGGCAAAGTCTGAAGACTATCTTTTGGTGGCAGGCATTAATAACCTTTCTGCAAGGCTGTGTTGTTGAGCTGTGTGTAGTCCTGCTGAGCCTCCCTGGGGTGCAGCAGGCCAGCCAATCACCCAGAGCTGCCAGCAGCATGAGCTGGAGAGGGAGCTTGAGACAGTGACCTCAGGCTTGGCCTTCCCTGCTCAGTTCTTAGCAGCCTAGAGGGCAGGGGACCAGGCACGACCACTGCCACCTGGTTCACAAGCAAGGTGATAGACTGTTGACAGAGTCTATCAGTCAGGGTGCTTGGCTAAGCAAATGGCACATTCAAACAGGGTTATGGGGGAGAGGCGATAAGAGTAGTGTTTGAAGGTGTGGACAGGGTTAGGACAGCCAGAGAAGGGTGAGTGCCAGTCCCCAGGGCTAGTGGCAGTGGGAGCCATTAGCACCTCTAATGGCAAAGCGGGAGTGATTAGTATAACCCAGAGGGGCACGCCAGATGGAGTGACCTGCCTGACAGGAGCTGTGGCCTTGGTACGATGGCCCAGCAAGGACCTCAACTTCCTCCTGCCCTCCAGTTCCCGTCAGGGCCTCCTACTGGCCAAACCCCCCTAAGAGCAGAGGCAAGGGTGCTGGCTGATGCAGCCTATACGGACCAGTGCCCAGAGGCTCAGAGCAGAGTGGAGAAAGGTGGATTGGGGGGGGGGGGGGAGGAACAGAGGGAATAAGCTGACTCTCAGAGAGCGGAAGATAGGTTCCACCCTAGCTCCAAGACAAACCCAAAGGTCATCCCAGGCCGGGTCAAGTGGTCACTCTGGCTGTTTCAGAATGGCAGCCTCAGTGGTGGTCCCAATCCACCTCCCCAGACAGTCACCGGTTAAGTGATTACTCCTGGAAGAAAGTCAGAAGAAGTCCCAGACAGTACTGTGGTACTCTGTTATTCAAGCAAGCTACTTTGCTGATGCCAGAGAAGGGGTGGGGTCGGGGGGTTGGGTACTGACCTGAATCCCTCACCCTTCAGCTTCTGCACAGCCAGGCCAGGAAACCCTTCCTGTGCCCCACTTGCACCCAACACAGCCAAATACATATTTGTACTAAAAGTTTATGTGCAAAAACTCATTCATTTCACGTCTCATTTGTCAAGAGACGTTTTGATATTTGTGCTTAAAAATAACATGGGCTGGATTAGCACAGCAGAGCTGGCACAGGAGACCAGGCCCCTTCCTAGCCACGTTCTCATAAATCTGGCTCCTGATTAATCTGAACACTGACCTATTTTATATGAACACTTTGTTGCTGATTGCCATTTCTAGAAAAAAAGAGAGGGAGAGAGAAAGAGAGAAAACAAAACAGAGTACCTTCCAGACAAACCCTTCTAATCCGGAAAGGCACCACAGTGAAGCTAAGTGTGGCCTCAGAAGAATACAGTTAGCAACTGAATGGCTTGCATGTTGGCAAGAGGATCCCCTCTGCAAGGACCTGGGGCTCAGATCTTGTGGCATGTGAACGTCTAATTAGCCTCAAGGCTCCAGCTCCAGGAAGAGGTGCCCTGGCCCCTACAGAGAACCGGCTGATGTGGCAAACTCCTGCCTGGTGCCCACACGGAGAACTGGCTCTCAATATTTCATTTCCTAATGAGAGAAAGACAGCCAAGGCCATGGGTGTGCTGGCTTTAAAGAGGCTCTTACTGCTGGGAGCCATCAAGAGGAGCATCCTTGGGTGTCTCCATGGCAACCGTAAACCATGACTGAAAGGGGCTGTGGACAAGGTGAAGGCATTCACTCTCAACCTATGCCCCCGTGGCTGACAAAGCTGGCGGAAATGGTGCCGGCATGACCTGGGACAATCTCCACGGAGCTGGGAAAGTCTCCAACTAGGCCAGCAGGGCCAGGCGGCAGTCACCCAGTGTTCCCATGTCCCTGGACCCATGAGGACCCAAAAACAATTGGCTTAAATAAACAATCCACTCTTCCCTCAAGCTCCGATGTGACACGAGGATCATAATTAAAGAGAAAATAAATCTGGCACAATTTGTCCCAGAGAAGAGAGGGAGAGGCTCCCTGGGCATCCTGAAAGAGAAAATTAAAGGATTTCATAAAGAAAATGGCTGAGCCTCACAGCTGGTGAGAGATGCCTGCATCATCCCTGACAGCAGCAAATGTGTGTGATTATTGGCTGCATGGCGTCCTCTCCCTCATCAGCCTGTCATGTGATTGCCATGAGTGGGAACTGGCAAGGCCAGCCATGGGCCCAGCTCAAGAGTGGCAAGGGAGCCCATGTATGTCCAGGACAAAGCTGTCTGTGTCACTGGGAGTCCCAGGAGGGGCTAGCCCTACTCCAGCTAAGGCAATCAGAGGAGGCTTCCTGTAGACAGTGT